GGGGGGAGGAGGGGTGGGGCCGGAGAGAGAGAGAAATGGAAAGAACAAATAAATCTGACTCCTGCAAAATCTCTCACATCATTTCACTCTGCTTCATCACCCTTCTTTCATCTCCCCTCCCCATATGCCGTGGTCACAGCAAGCTTGTTTCAGCTACCAGAAGATGAGCTTGGTGAGCCACTGCTGTTCATTAATCTAACCATATACTGTTGACCCAAAGACACCAGCCTGACCTGAGTAAGGAATGACTCCCTTCACAAAAGGGTCTCTGTCTGTCTGAAAAAGGGACATTTCTTCTCCTCTCCTCATTCCAATTCATTTTAACAGGGACTATAGAAAGGGTGAGACTATCAGGCAACACTTTTTTGTGCCTTAAATAATCCTCAGGGAGCTTTAAACAAGCCTTGGGAAGGACAACTGGCCTTGTGCCTATGACCATGGACAATCAGAAGATCTGGGCCGGAGATGGCTTGGTCACCATTGTGGACAGGAAAAGAGAAAAGCCAAGCAATTGGGAGAGAGTCAAAAGCAGGACTTGGAAAGGCTGAGGAATTTGGGGACATGATATTTCTGAAGGTTCATAGTAGACAGGCAGAGAGAAGAAAAATCTTTCCTCGGATTTTGAGGGCTGAACTGCAATCTGAGTGGCAGGATTGAATTCATGTACCTCTTTATATTGATAGATCCCATATTTCACTAAATGGCCACAGTCTGGAAGAATCCGCCATAGTCTTGGCAGTACTAAATACACTTTTTGATTACATGTACTTGAAAGAGGTTTGCTGTTTCAAAGCAGGTTAACTGATCATGCTAAGCTATAGACCCCCAGTTCATACCTGTATCATTAGGTATATGAAGGTATGATGAAGGTATACATTGCGGCCTTTCAACGTATAAGGGAGGCTTATAAGAAAGATGGAGAGAGATTTTTTACCAATGCCCCTAGTGACAGGACAACGGCCAAGGGTTTTACACTGAAAGAGGGTAGGTTTAGATCAGACATAAGGAAAAAATGTTTTACAATAAGGGTGGTGAGACACTGGAACAGGTTGCCCAGAGAAGTTGTGGATACCCCATCCCTGGAAGTGTTCAAGATCAGGTTGGACGGGACTTTGAGCAACCTGATGTAGTGAAAAATACCCCTGCCTATGGTTGGAGTGGATGATCCTTAAAGGTCCCTTCCAACCCAAACTGTTCTATGATTCTATGATTCTGTGATCATTTAGAGCAATATTTAACCCCATGATCAGTTAATGTGTTTTTAAATCAGTTCCTATCTCTGTTCTAGGTGCTGTCAAACATTTTGAAATCTGTTTGCTGATATGTTACAATACTCCCTCTATTTTTTCAGGGCAGATGGCCCCCCTAGTCATATTACTACCCTTTCTGACATGTAGGCCTCTGAGAGTGATTTTATTGACAGTTCCTAAAATCAATAGATAACGTTAGCATTAAATAGGTTAACTTCTACTCCTAAACATTGTCTTAGAAATACACGTAAGGCAAGTGAATAAGTAAGTTGTGAAGGTTTCTTACTGTGCCACCTTGCCTCGTTAAAGGAATGAAAGACCAATGTCAGAAGAATGCTGCACCTACCGTTCTTCAGTAGCTCCATGGAAAAGTCATGAACAAGCAACCCATGGCTGTGGTCGTCATGGTTAATTAACTGTTTATAGTGTAGAATATCATTGCCATGAACTCCATTAATAAGGAACCCGTACCACGGCCTCTGCACAACCCCAAATACCAAATGGTCTTGAGGCACATCCAGGTCAACCGCATTGATAACAGAGAGATCTAGCTCTTTCATCTCCCCCTCTTGAACCTGAACGTGAAAGAAAAAAATGTCCAATTCTTTTACATAAAAAGAAATTATAGAATTTTAGCATCGTTTCCTAAGTACGGTATTTTTGCGTATGAGTGTATCTCTCTGTTTCCTCCACCCCTTTCCCAGTAGCTTTTGAACCAGCTACTGATTTCAACTAGTTTAAGAGACATAGAGTAGCAAATTGTTAGCGATGAAAAGAGAAGGTGAGATAAGGAGTTGGTATCTGCCCCGATTAATACTAAAGCTATTAAGTAAGTAAACTTTGTATTAAGTGCTAGGGAACGCACAGAGGAGAAAGCCTTTAAATACATAAATATATATAAAAATATGGATGCATATAAATTTATACACATACTTTACAGTAATATAAGCTTACACTGCCCTAGCATGGTGGTCACAGAATTATTATTTGTATTAAAAGCAGTCTTCAGAGAGGGGAGAGGCTATGCCAGAAACAAAAAAAAAAACCTCTACAAAAAAATTATAAAAGCTCTTGAGAAACCAGAAGAAGCATAACAATCCTTCTGCTTTCTAGCTGACTTACTTGTTTAAAGATTTGAGCCTTTTTTTACTTAACTGCAAGTTACCAAACTGAGCTGTGCACTGCTCCATTCCCACTGAAGCTCTGTCTTACAGGTTTAAATGGGATTTAATTGGGCTGTTTCCTGAACTAGACTGAACTACACAAAATAAGGGAAAGATGCAGAGGAACAGGAGTTAGAACAATGCTCTTATTTATATTGAAGAGTGTTTTCTGGTATAAAATAACTCTATGACAGGCATTTGGTTTCTTTCCTTACGGTAATATTCCTTGCTATGAATTCTGGGACTTCATCATTGGTTGGGCTGATCAGCACAAAAAATGGAGTCTCTGCAGAGCGATGCAGCCCATCAGTGACATAAAGTACAAAGTGGTCTGCTGTTGGCTCCATTCGCATGTGCCTGGCTTGTACATAGTTTATGTTCAGGGCTTTCAGGTGCTTCAGCTGAAACGAAGCTAGAGATTTTAAACAGATTATGAGTTAGCACAATCTTTTCCTGCTTTCTGGACTTACGTATCATTAAAAAATCTGAAAGTATGTCTTTCTTCAGAGAACAAATAACTTGGATTTTGTAAGTTCTCCATCATTTTTTGGCTGAAAGAGTTACACTGCACATGTTACCACAGGACACATGCCCTTCCCCTGAAACAAAAATGCATCCTTCTGCTTCTTGTGGAACTGTGCAACTTCATACTGCAGAACTGAGCCCAAATAAAAAGACCCAAATAACAGGTAGGAAAAGATCTGAGGTCTAAGTAATTACATTGACTGTTATTTGACTGACAGACCAGGAAAATGGGGAACAAAAGACCCGGTGATTCTGGGTGTCCAGCTGGTGACACTTGTAAAAGCTGGTAGCATTACAGAGCATGCCACAATCTGTTCTGCTGAGGATGAAACTGCCTTACAACGTTTGAAGGTGGACAAGGGAAGAGACCCAAGTCAACCACCATCTCTTTCACTTTTGTAGCTTTGCCTTGGAAACTAACATGGGACACAGGCTTTTCAAATTCTCTGCTACAGCATTTAATTGACAGAAGTATAGGTGAAGGGAAGTGCAGGAGCCTTGCATGGGAGAGTGCAGGGGGAGGCAGAGAGAGCAGATTAATGTCTTATATCACCACTTCTAATAGATTGCAGCTGGAATGCATAAAACAAGGATTGGCTTGTTTACTTCAAGTGCCAATTCTTCACATTTGCAGAGCTCCGGTCTCCCTTTGAACTCCTCCCACACAGTCCCACTGCTCTTCATCTGCCAGCACCTGCCTTCGTCAATAAGCCCATATTAATGCACACACCTGCAGCTACTTCACCAGAGCCCATCTCACAGCCCTCCACAAGCCCTCTATATTTCATCTGCTTGATTACCATACATCGTTAAGACTTACCTATACTTACACCAATGTTGCTTTTCTCAAACCCAGGAGAAGGCAGTATATTTTCAATGTAACCAAACTGGGGAGGAGAAACCAAGACAAACTCTAAGTCATCTGCAGTGGTGTCAGGGTCAGTGGCAAACAAATGGTTGGTGGTAAGGGCTGCTGAGGAGCCCTCCTCCACCACAAACCTTGCACCTGCACACAAACAATATGATAAGCATTGTTGCTTATTTAGCTCATTTTACTGTTGTTTTTGTTAACAAGAATGGAAATAATAACTAAGGGGGAAAAGACAACAAATATTGAGTTATGAGGGATTTTGGTTTAGATTTTTTTTTCTCTGCTTACACCACCAACTCTACTTTTGTGATCATGTAAGTAGAGAGGAAGGGAATCATGAAATTATTTTACTGGTAAGTTATTACGTATGGTTTATGTGCTGCTCGAAATCAGTTGTTGCCTCTGTTTGTCAGAGCATTAATTACATGAGAGCTGTTACGAATTGCTCATAATGAACAATTTTTCATGCATCACTGCTTAATTTCCCTGCTGGGACAATGCTTCATTTCCAGAACATTACTTGGGTGAGAGCCTGCAAATTACAAAACTACTCATACATATGTTTAAATATTCTCTGAGATACATAACATATACATAATGCTTACAAACAAATGACATTGAAAAAAACAAGCATACAGAAAGCATACCTTTAGTATGTATACTACAGACCTCATCCAAAGCTCAGGAAGTCAGTGGAAATTTCACACAATGGGCTGTTGTTGGACTAAATGTACATTACCGACACTATTCCATTTTAACTGAGTATTTTTGATCCTGAAGAGTACTAGTGAAAATGTGGCTTCACATCTATTAATTTGATCCCTTACATATATAGCCTGGATTTGTGTTTATTCACTAACAGAGTTAAATATAGGTAATAAAAGATTCTCTCCCTTCATAGAAGGGCCAGCGTCTAAATTTCTCTTGTATACTTTACATGCAGAGGTAGATAGATATTTATGTTTATGTTTTTGCATTGTATAAACCTGATAATTGTCTGGACCTAAGTTCAGGGACAAGATATCGATCACTTTTACCCAGACATATGCAGCAATGGACATGTATAGATGGAGGGGAGCAGATCTGAGCACTGTCATCTCTAACCACATGATTTAAACATGCACCTGAAGAGCCACAAGCAGTTACTTATACTTGTACCTGCAGCTGAATTTGGTGGTTGCACTGTACTAGCAAAAGAAAAAAAATATTGATGGAAATTCTGATCCAAAATTTTTGTATGCTAATCTCAGCTGACTCTTTCTGATGCTAAAAGACAAACAAACAAACAAAACCCCCGAGTCTTTAGCCATTACAGTACTGCATAGCCCACATTATAATGCTATAGTGAGAGGAAGCTTTCACCAGTTGCAACTGATGGAGGCTGGTTGTCCACTGGCAGTACAGTGATGTTAAGGTCATATACTGGAAATGGATCGTGAAGTGGAACTGGAGGAGGAAGAGGTCCATCATAACAGCAGTCTTTCACATCTAGGCCAGCCTCACCGTCAGAGACAACAAAGGTTAAGATCTCAATGGAAGGAGTCAGGCCAATCTCTCCACCTGGAAAAAATGTTGCAGTTCAGAAGAAATATTTTACCAGAACTTCATGAAGAATAATTTTGTATCCTGCAAGGACAAGCTGCAGTATTCTAATCAGAAGAAAACAGCAAAATTACTAGAATTCTTAATTCTGGCTGGTGGGGGTGCTGTTTAGTTAGGGATTTGGTTTGTTGTTCATAATTAATTTTAACCAGCTTACTTCTATTCTAGAATAAAAAGATGTAGAAAAGTATATAACTAAGTTAGTATTACTAATAGTTATAATATTATTATCGCAATGTTAAAATATTATATTGTAATTGTAATAAAATTGCTTATAGTCCTCATGATTCTATTCTTTGTGCACTAAGGCACATGCAAAATATACATTTGTGCAGAAAGAGAGGTTTTTTCCTGCATTTCTTCTCAAAGAATGTAGGAAAAGATCTTTCTTTTATATATGTACCCTCTCTATGACAAGTGGTAATCTCTTCCAGCAAAAAACAGTTTTGCATATCAAGAAATGCATGTATTCCTATACGCCTCTTATCCCTACGAAATGGACTATAACAAGGGCTGTGCTTTGTTACTTTACTGTATATTATGCCTATACGTAATCATGTCCAAAAATGTGGGCTGATACAACACAGGACTGGGAACTACCACCCCTTGCAAGAAGCATCTGTGGCTGAGTGTATTCCAGTTGTCAGCACTTCTGGCAGTCTGTGTCTTGCATTGCTGCAAGATGTTACTAATAAGCTGTCTGCAAAGGGAAGGCAGTGACTCCCACGCTCTCTTGCAATATCTACTGGCAGCGCATGTAGTGTGTAGAAATTTGGGAATGACCTTTAAGGTCAGCTTCTGCCCTTCAGTGCCTCTGCAAAACACTGCCATTGAATAATGTTCCTGATATCTTTAGAAGTTTGTTATGGGTGGCCATAATCAAGTACTTCCTTCTCTTCTCAAATACCAGCTTTTCTTTTTAGACAGTGCCAAGCCTGAAAATATCACATATATTCTCCATGCTAGCACAAAATTACAGACTAATTACACAGAAAACCAGAGCCTTTGAAAAAAAAAAGACTAAAGCTGTCATCAGAGATGTAGAAAAGAGAACCCTTTTAATGTTACTGAAAGGATGAAATTAAGTAAGAAAGGGGGTTAACCAGCTCTTGGTTTCTGTGAGTAATTAAAAAAAAAGTATTTTGGGATTTTAAAGTCAAAACCACAAAATAACATCTTTTTAGCACTGTGGTTCTTTTGAAGGAAATCTGAACATCGTTTGTCTTGTGGTACAGAAAGACTATAAACTGTCCAAAAGTGGATATCCATGTAGATTGGGGAGGTAAGCAAAAAGTACCTCAGGTTGTTAGCAGTTTTCTATTAAAACTCGGCATCCTCATTTACAGCATTACATTATTTTATCTAAACATGACTACAGAAAAAGGTCAAAGATTTTTTTTTAATGTCAAGAAACAAATAAAAAGACTCTATTTTGTACCTAATTTAATAGTACCTATTTTGTACCTAATAATGGCCAAAAAGGCCAAAGATATTTTATCAGCAACAGTGAAAGAGATCCTCCAGGATTATGATGCTTTCGTGTACTTGTTAGAATATAATTTTCAGTTCAAACAGGGATTTGGAGAACACATTAAAACATTTGGAAGTTGTACATCATCAGCCCTCTTTCAAAGCCAGCTTACTTTTTTCCCTAATCACAACACATGTGGCTCTGAGCTTCTGCAAAGATTATATGGATTCAGTTTGAGATTTTCTGCCAAAAACTCTCTGATGACCTTCCAGTCCAATTCTGTCCTTAACTCACTTACTAGTGTGCTTATATGTGACTAAACCAGAGATGACATCAGCTTGGGAGAAACGATCCACAGCAACACCAGCTTTCCTCACTACCCCGTGGTAGGGCTGGCGAGCCAGCATAAACATCAGTTTCACGTCATCACTGTCTGCGTCTGTGGCATAAATGTACTCCGAGGAGAGGACCACTTCTTCACCTTCCAGGCAGTGGAGCACAGGAACAAGGCCTGTTTGCATAACAGGTGGCTCATCGTTCACAGGCAACACCTAATCAGAAAAATAATTTAAGATCTTTTATCTTTCATTGCAGTGGAAACCTGTTGTTTTAACACATTGCTTTCCAGTCCAAACCAGCAGTATGGTGTCAGTGTCAGAGAACATTGAACTCTCTGTATGAACAAAATGAATTAAAATTAAAATTCAAAGACAAAAGCAAACCAAACTAGATAATTATAGCTCATATTTCAGTACAGAGAGAATAATTCCAGACAGAAGAATCCAAGCTGGAGCAAGCACAAATGTCTTTCAGCTAGTACAAGCCAAATCTCCTCTCAAATTTGGCACACAAACCTGAAAGCTAGGGTCAAAATGGAAGCCTAACAAGTCCAATATCTTCCAATTTCCAAGGGAATGTGAAGACTTTCAGAAGTCAAGTTTTGCACTCTTCTACACAGGCAATTCCTCTCAGAAATATGCAACACACTGACCTTGACCTGCAGGATGAACTCTACAAAGTGGATGCCATCTGTGGCTGCAAAGAGGACATCATCAGTGAGAGTCTCAGAGCCATCGTGCCGATACCTGTGAAAGAAGAAAAGAGCTACACAGATTTCACACAGACAAAGAAGCTGTGCTTTCTGGTCATGCCAGACAATGTGGATTCCTCCCAATATAAAAAGCTGATCCCTGTGCAAGGGTGTCCATCTAAGACTGCTGATTCTGGATCAGAGTGTCTTCAGAGGGCTTGTGGGGTCTCTTACAAGAAGAAAACCCCCAAGATAAAACAGACATCAGCTGGGAAAAAGGTTTCACTGAGACTTTGTCATCTATGGTTTGGCTGCTTGTGAGATGTCTACCAAACATGTATGTCCTCACTGTGGTAGGTGCTCTCCTTGACTAACAGATGGAAACAGAGTCAGGGAGCTCTAATTCTGCGTGCATGTAGAAAGTCAAATCTTGTTCTTGCCACAAATATAGCAGCAAAAATTTAATCTCTAGGTTAATCAATGTTAATACAAGTTTTCTTGTAAACTAACCAAGTTTAATAAACACAAAACTTCCTTAAAATAAAAAAGCTGGCAACCATTGCCTTCTTCACAGGAACTGCATGGCTGAATACAGAATTTGCCTCCTCATCTGCATGGGGCAGTGCTTTATAGAGAAACCTATCTACATCAGACATGGTCGCTAGCTCCCGCTTCCTGGCCACACAACAGCTCAGCTTCCACAGTGACCGTTGCGGTCCCGAGGGTCAGCCAGCAATCTTGGCCTGGAGCAGCTCTGCCAGAGCCGTGCTATGGTGAGCATGGCTAGCTGTAGCATCTGCACTTCGCACCACTTCACTGCAGGGCTTCCGCTCATCCAACTGAGAGACTCGGCCACCGCAAGAAGAAAAAAGACAGCCACTCTTCTAACCTGACTGCCAGGGTATGCAGGTCCCCACAGGAAAGCCTGTCGCCTTCATTCATGGGAATGCCATCCAGCTCCACTGCGCCGTGCTGAGGCTGTCTCTGCAGGAGGAGGAGGAGATGCTCCCGTTTTGTGTCCATGTCAGAGATAAGAATGTGTCCCTCTGTGACAAGGCTCAGGCCACCCTCTTCCACTCTCAAATGGCTTGTAAAAACCTGCATGGAGGAGAAATGCTGAACTCTCTTTTCTTCTGCGCTTCCAAACATACACCGAACAGGGCAATTTCAATTTGCTCTGGTATAAGGACGTGTGACACCTTAAAAACCAAAATGCCAAAGGCTGTACTCTTTTCTGCTGTGTTAGGAAAACCTAAGGAATTTACTAATAGTAGGCCCAAATGTGTGCAGCCCAGTCCTGATCCCATTCACAGAGGCTTCATAGGCAATAGGCAACACAAAGAGGGAGGATGCAGTTTTGCTAACCATGATGTGACATATGTATTTTTGTACTCAGACGCTGAAGGTAGCCCTCAGCTTATTTAGCACAAAAAATCACCCTGCACACTTACCAGACTTACCTTCCTCTTCAGTCCCAATGCAGGCTATGTGCAAGACACTGAAACTCTGATCCCATGGAAGATTTATTTTTTATTTCAGTGAGACCAGGACATCTCTCTGCATTTCTGTTTCTACTCAAAGCTATTTCCAAGTCCTTCCCTCTCACCTTCAGCACCACCCTACCTCTGGGGCCTGATTGTCCACAGGAAGAATTGTGATATTGAAGCAGATCCCATACAAAGTGCCACCGTGTTGATTGCTGATGGAAAAAATAAACTGAACTTGCTGAGGTTCAGGCCCAATGTCCTGCAGCGGTGGCATGTAGGCAACTTTCATATAGTTCACAGCATGCTGCAAAAAGAGAAGAGGGGTGCATGTAAGAAGAGATAACAGGAGTAGCCATAATTCAGGACATTAGGGGCCTTTCTCATCCCCTGATTAGATGTGATCCAAACTGTCAAAATTAATTCCAGAAACTTTGCACATACTCTTTATCTACTGACAATACCTTGATTAAATGCATCTTTAGCTACAATCAGGTCAGTATAGGTTCAAATACTCAAACCTGTAGCAAAAAATACAGACACAGTTTATAAGTGATAATAGAGGCAATGGCCTTACCTTCTTGATGGAGCCCTTTAAGAATGCTGGTCCCAGGGCCTTTTCTAACTGTGACTTTAAAATAAACAATTCATCAAAGCACAGCTTTTAATGTAACATCTCCCATAGCAGCTGAATTTGCCCTCACCAGTATGAATAAACTGCACATCCTGCCTCCCCAGGTGAGGGCAAGCTGGTGAAAGAGGCTAAAATAATCACCAAAATCTTGCATCCGGACACCCATATTAGGCACGTGATTAAGGATTTGTAGGCTCAGAGCTCTCATTGTGTACTGCAATGATCACCATTATGCAACCTTAACCGTACAGCAGGATATAAAACAGGGCACCTCACTAATAATGATAAGACTTCTGTCAAACCACAGAAGCATGAAAACGGAACAACAAAATCCTGAAAAAGGCCTGTTCCAGCCTGTACCATATCTGTCAGTGGAAACACTGAGAAGAAGCAGGTACCTGTCAAGGCCTCATTTTCAACATTCTGTGTATTTTTTCCTTCCTCTTAACATCATGCTGGAACCAAATTCAGCCTACCCTAAGCAACTGCAGCCCCTGCTGGTTTCAGAAGGAGAGCTTTGTCTACATATTGCAGAACCTGAAGCATGATGGGAATTTGTTTTAAAAGCTGGAATTGAATTAGCAAAGTTTTGAGCTTCTAAAGCAGAGCTTGTGATAGTACTGCTCCTCATTTTTCACCTCTTGTTTTCCTGTCAAAAAGAAGCTGTACGTTTGTAACTTTTTAAAATTGTTTAGAACTGGTTACGGTATCAGGTAACGTAACAAACCTGCGTAAATGACCGCAGTGCAAGAGCAGCAGGATCCTTGGCCAGCTTGGGGATGGTGTCCACCATAAACAGCTTCCCAGCATCTGACTGGCTGTACAAAAATACATATGTCACATCCTGGTTAGCAATACTGAAGAACAGGAAAAACAACAGTCACATAGCTCAATCTTGCATTTCAACTTAACTTTCCACTCCCAACTGCATTGAAAGGAAAAACATTTTTCTTTCTTCTATCCTTGTTATTCATTTAAACATTATCACAGAGAACTGATCACAAGAAATATTTTTCAGGATGGTCATGAAAAACCATTGCATACATTATAAGCAAGCTCTGGGTTTGCTACAAGTGTGTCTCTGCACACCCCAGATACCATTTACACCACCTGCAAGTCTAGCCCATCACATTCTTATTATTTACACACCTGCATTTATCTTTACATAGAAAAATAAAATATTTCTGGTTTTTGTGCATCTTATACACTTCTGAAATGAACCAGTTTCCAGCAAGCCAGCTTTCCAACAGCAGTGACCAGCAAACTGGATAACCATATGGCTATTTGACTGAATAGAGGAACAACCTAAACGTCCTTCTCCCCCAGCCTTATACTGATCCTTTCGTTGCTTGAGGCCAAAATTGGAAGTGTTGATCTTCAGCTTAAACCATACAATGGCTGTATTTTAAACTTTTCTATTTAGCAAATTGTTGCTGATGGTGTCAAGAATTTACCAAATGGTGAAACAGCATCAGTGACATGTAAACTGCTACTGCACCCACTCATCCCACACTCCTACTGCCCCCATAGCCTCTTCTGCCTGCATTTGGCTTCACAGGTTCCTGGTCCGTGACAAGGAGTCCTTCACAGTGCCATGGTAATAATATATATCCTAGAAAAAGCTGTAGCACCTCATCTTCTCAGTCTGGGGCAGGCAAAGGTCAGCCCCACTCTATCAGTTAGGAGAGGTGCTGTGACTTGTGCTCAAGGCTGTACAGGATCCCACAGGCCAGTGTAGTCAAGTCCCAGCAAGTCCAACAAAAGGAAAGAAAATATTTCAGGTGCTTTCCTCCTTCTTTCTTGCTAAACTATGTAATTTTTTTTATAACTCTGTATTATTCTGTTGCTTTCAGCTCTAGTTCACCCTTGATCATCAACAGGAGAGCTGCACACAGCTATTGTCACCTGCACTTTAAGCAAACAGGTGAAGAACCTGAGACAGAAGCATGCTATTGCCACTGAGGCTGCTTCTCTTCCCTGGGTCATTGCCCTGTTCCACCTGAAAGGTATGGCAGGTCACACCTACCTGTGCGTGCAAGAGAAAAATGGTGAAGTGGTTATGGTGTATGTGAGTTCCCTGTCTTGCTCTTCCACATCTATGAAGTGGAGATGTTTCTTAGTTAGGTGAGCAATCTCAGTCTCCTTAACAACCAGGTGACGGGTCACTCCTGGGGCTTCTCTGGGTAGCTGATCGTCCACAGGGATAACGTGCACCATCATCACCTGAAATCAGGAAGACAGTAACATCAGCAGCCATTCGTCTCAATAAGAGAGTGTCCATGCAGCTGTTTACAAACATGCACACACAGAAGTAAGTGGATCACTGGAATATGAGATATAGGATGTGGCTGTCATGCTATATCATGAACACACAAGTAATGGAGATATACAATAGTTAAATGCAAAGCCTATGACTTAGCGATTTCCTTTTAAATTAAAGGCAAAGTTAAATTCAGTATGTTGGACTCCTGGATGAAAAAAATAGTCTCGTCTCAGTTGACTTCAGGAGGGCTCTTTAGTTTGTTTGTACCATCTCCAAATCTAATTTGCTTTCAACATTTCATTTTACAGTGTAGGAAAATGTCTTTGCAATGGACTTGTCTCTCTGCGGCTAGGCAGAGAGAATTACCCCATGGAAAGCAAGAACAAGAGCTAGCTCTGAAGAACGTTATTTGTGGTGATGATTGTGGTGATGGCAAACAGAAAAGATCTATACCAGTTTGATTTGAAGGTCTGTCAGAAGGTGTAAAATCACCAGACATTTGAATGAAAAATGCAGGACTCCGCCAAAGATGCTTCAGTTTCATACCTGTGGCTCTGAGAGATTGGGAGGGTCATGGCTATCACACAGCACAAATTCAAGGGAATCTTCAAATACTTCTCCTCCCAAATGATGATAATAAATTATTCCGTTAAATAGATCCCTCTGAAGAAAACTGCTGACAGAATACCCTGTTGAATTGAAGAATATATGTTCTATTGAACAGTGCATGATTTTAGTAATTCATAAAAATTATCCATTAGCTGTGCAAGTAACTGGTGAAGCATGTCCTCTTTCACACCCTAACTAGGGCAAGCCCTTTGAAATGTTATCTCATTGTCTTCCACATTTCCTGAAGATCATCAACATATTTTCTATGTTCATTCTAAGATCATTTAAAAAATGAAGCAACACAGCAAACCGTCCTAAAGCCCTGTTCAGAGAACAAAAGAGAATTTGCAGGACTAGCAGCCTCTGCAGTCTAGTACAGGAATTTCTGAGTTCAACTAAATGGAAGGAGAGCTTTCTTCCTGTTTTAGCACCATTAGCATCATCTAATAGCTTTGAACTTGTCAGGGATCCCTGCAGATAAAATAACTGCTGACCAGCCCTCTCCAGAAAAGTACAGTAGGGAAATAGAATGGAAGAATTATGGGATAAACTGTGTTCACAGGTATAGTTATCCTGGTGCAGAGACCAACATTAATTAATGATGGGGATTTACACTAAAATAAAAGAAGTCCAAATCTGCTATGATTTGCCTTGAGCCAAAATAAGTTGTCTAATTGTAACATTTAATGTAGTTAAAAAAGGAAGGGACAAAGAAAAGCATGCTATTGTGGATGTGTTTCATTACCTATCAAGTTTGGTCCTGGTTTCTTCATGATTTCTCCAGCCTGTGGCGGTTTGGTAATATTAAAGAGTATGTAATCATCACTGGAATCTATGTCAGAAGCATGAAGCATGGAGCCCTGAATCAGGATCGTCTGTCCCTCATGAACTTCAATGACCACATTGCTGATAAGAAATGGAGGGCTGTCGTCTTTAGGGAGGATATTGATTGGAAACTTATGGCGAATACTGTGGGGGCCATCGAAAATCCTAAATACCACAAAGTCCTTAGTAGAATCACTGTCATCATGATGGTAGTGAACAACTCCAGCCTGAATGTCAGAGACTGTGAACATGAATCCTTTCCCTCCTGTCAAAACAGTGGAAGAAAATGCATCAAAAACGTGCAGTTCAGCCCAGAGGAGAATCCTTCCACCAATATGGATGTTATTAAGGGAGAGAGAAGGAGAATGCATTTCTAACTAGAAAAAACAAATGTAACTTCACCTACTGGAAACAAGTTTGTAGAAGTTGGAAGTTAATAAGAAGGCAGAATTTGCAACGGTGGTAGCAGAGAAAATCTTCCAAATGTCCATTGCACTAAAGATAACTGGAGATATTAAGGATTTTTAACTGCGACTGTTTCCACTTTAATTTCAACCTCTACTTTCTTATCAGAACATTTTACATGTATTTGAAGCATCAGAAAGAATATGCTTTATAATTACAGCTCAGCATTTCATTGCAAGTAAAAAATAACATTTGTGGGTCTTGTTTTTTCTGCATATTGAGGTTACTGTCTATAATAAGGCAATTTTACACCTCTGCTTCACTAGATATGTTGTGCGCACACACACAAATATTCAGGCAGGTTAAAGGTTTCAAGAACTGCAAGCTGGTGCTCTAAGAGATGATCTCCCAAGGGCCTCCAAGGAAAATATTTTTTTGCCCCCCATGCTGTGTAACATCAGCAGACATATCCTCTCACTCCCTTTGCTCCTTACTTGAAGAGAATTATGGCAAACTTTAGGATGGAGAAATAACTCCCTCACCACCAAACAAAAACCTGTTAAAGGTGACAGAAGGCAGGGAACACCACCATACACACCTCTTTCTTTCAGGGCTTTCCTTTAGCTCTAGGACTGGCATTACCAAATCCAACAAAAGAGCATTCAAAGCATTGGAATTCACCAGTTAATGGGAATCCCTCCACTGATTCAGTGGGCAGTGGCTCACAGCATTTGCCAGCAGCATTAGAGTTATGGTGCAGCTGGAGGCTAAACCCGAGCTTTCCTTTAAAGTTTGACCATCACTTGGTGCTTGCTAGACAAAAAAGGCAATTGCCAAAAATTGTGGTGATGGTTTCCTTTGCATATACCTATGCAGACACATAAAAGAGAGTAAGGCGTGGTCACTGCAGAAGAAATATCCACTCCTGGCTGGCCCACGGGAGGCTGAGAAACCCGGGTGGCTGCGTGCAAGGATGGGACTGCCACCACGAGATGGGCCCTGAGCTCCTGCAGCCGCAGCTGGTTTGCTGCTCTGCGGCCTGCAGCCCGCTCCCCGGCTGGCTGCACAGCCTCCCGCAACACCGTCTGTGGGGCTGAGCCCATCTAATGCTGCTGACACCACAGAGTCTCTGTTTGTAGCATTACAGGAGGATGATCGTGCAGATACTGAACTCCTTGGCAGTAGTTTCCTGAGATGAACCATACTTCTGAATAGTTTCTGTTTCCACTAAATTCCAAATACCACCTTCCCCTTTTCTTTAAATACTTGCTTTATGTCTCTAGGCTATGCATTTTACATGAATACATTAACTATCAAAAAATCCAGCATAGATACTGGCACCATCTCTCCACCCTGCCAACAGCAGAATGACTTCTTTTACCTAACCATTTTCCCAAAGAGAGCAGCACTGTCCTGACTCATGAGATTGCAAAGCAAAATTAGTAATATTGACAATGCAGAAGGCTAATGAATTAGAAGTCTAATTTAATTGCCACTTTTTGAAATAAACCTTAAAGCTGCCAGTAAATAACAACCGTATCCAAACGTTGTCTGTATTTGCCAACTTTCCTTAGCATCATCAAACAAAAATATAAGAAGTGAAAATACAGTGACTGCATTTCCCCTAGGTCATGCCTGCTCAATGAAAGCATAGCTGATTTCTTTAAAATTTCAGCTTTGGGATGTAAATGCACGTTAAGAAAGTAAAAGTTTAAATACTGAAATTTTCAATACTCTTGTTTTAATCCCCCCTCCTGCGTGGTTGTAGCCGGGGAAGCCGGGGGAGCATAGGGGAAGCATAGGGAGTGGAGGGGCTGCCGAGCCGCCTGCCCCTGGCCAGGGAAGCAGGGCCGGAGGGCAGTGCCATGCCCCTCAGTGCGGGTCCCGCTCCTCGCTTCGGAGGGGAGGCCTTCAGCAGCAGCACTGTCATGCCTCAGGTTTTCTTGTTTCCTCTGAGCGACGCAGGGCAATACATGGCGTTTCTCTGTGTTTTGCAGTGGCATCGCAGCACTGTCCCTTGGGAGTTACCCATCCTCGTTCAGCCTTGGTGGGACACGGCAGCGTCAGGCCTGCTGCACGCCATTGGGAGCTGCATGAGCTCACTTGGGCTGAATCGACCTCCAGTGAAGAAGCTAAGAACCAATTTCATTTTCAAAGTGGTGTGTAGGCAAAATGCCAGACTTACAAGCATCTCCCATTTAAGGATGTAGACAGCATAAATACACTCTTTGCAAAAGTGTCTAAGCTATGCAACTGACTTTCTTTATGAGCTTGTGAATTTTTTAATTTCTTACTGTGCATCCCGGAATTTCCTTCCACACCTTCATTCCCTTGTAAATCTGTCTCTTATGCTGGCAGCCCTCAGCAGGGAGTGACACACGACAGACTCTATCAACGTCTTATTGACTGTCACATTATCGTAGCCAGTTGTCACTAAAGAACATGTTTCCAGGCCCTCAAGTTGAAATGATTTACCTCTCACTGTGAGCTGCCCATGCTGTAAGCCGTCAACTGTGACCAAGCGGACATTTTGGATGTCATCGTTGTCTACAATTTGGAAGTGTTGCCATGTGATCGGTCGGGATTGCCCTTCTAGGAGGTTGAGGCCTGCAAAAACCAGAGCGTTATATCACCAAAGCGTCTGCGACATTCAAGGCTGTCAGCACCTAACCTTTCTAAAAAACATGTTTAATTTCACCTACACACCTACCTGTGACAGACATTTCAAGGCTAGCTTAAAAGCTTGATATCAACTTTTATTCTGACATACTTGCCTTAGTCAACTGTCTTTAAGGAATTTTTTTCAGACAAATAACATATTCTCGTTGCCAATGGTCTGATAGACTGGCTAGGCACGTTTCTGGACATTTGCACAAACTGGAGCCTTGCACTTGCAATCTCACAATGTCTGAAATGGGGCACTGGGCTTCCTTAGTGAGTCTGCATTTAAAAATATATATTGATCTCCGTGACGGAGGGCAGTATCTCTTCTCTTTACTCAGACGGTCATTTCAGGTGGGGCTTTTCCGGGAGACATGAGGCCTCTCCTCAGCTCCTTCCCTTTTCTACTGTGAGGAAGCTGCTCTTTCTCTGGTATTAACTTCAGAAATTGTTTGATCTTATACCTTTGCCTTTTGATGATTAAGTATCAATTTACATTTCACTCTATATGGGAGAGCCTGTCCCCTCTCCAGTGCAGATTATAAATCTGTTGGAATTAGCCTCAACCCTGTAAGGTTTCCAAATGGCTGGTGGTGTATCATGCACTCTTTTTCTAGTTGTTCATTTTTGCAGACTTCCACTTCAGGCAATACCATCTCACACACTAGCCTACTACTGCTATTCCATCACATTGTCTTTACTATTTATACTCTTTTATGTCTTTTCGTTCTGGAGAAAATGCTATATACAGAAATCCTGATTGTCATGTAGCGCTCTTTTTCCTTTATTTTTCATTCCAGTTAAAACTTAAGATTTTTTCAAGTTATTGTAACATGTTCCCCCCAAAATGGATAAAAGGAAAAGGTAGATTTACGCTCCCTTGGTTTAATGATCCTTAAACTGCAGGTGTAAATCTGAATTTAGAGCTTTGTCAAATGTCTGTATCAAAGCGTCCTAAATTCTGTGGCAAAATAAACTGTGGAAAAGAGATCTCACCTGTATTCCATGAAATCCGTGGAGCGTTTGTATCTGTTGTTCTGATAGAGAGATGCATGGTGATCGGTAAACTCCTTTCAAAGTAGAAGTCATGAACCTCAAACTCCACCTGTTGTGAAAACAGACAAAATAATTATTGAAAAAAAAGAGCCTGAAAACCAGCTGCACCTCAAAACTGGTGTGTTCTTACCTGAGAGATCGTAAAGTCTTCAGATAATATGTTGGAAAATGAAACTTGATTTAGCTTCTAAAAAGAGCCTTTGAGGTTCTGCACTAAATTAAATATCTGCCTTCTGTGCTCTTCACAGTGAATGCTGGGAAAGTTAGTTTGCAATGTGTGAAAATTAATGGGAAAGATAAACATTTTCACTGTTGTTTGGGGTACAATTAACTCAGCTGTTAACATAGGGCTTTTTAAATAGTAATGGTAAGAGGGGGAAGGGACATTTCCTGCTCTTTTAACATGTAGGATCCACAAAATTATGAAAGAAAAGATATGGACTGGAACAGAAAAAATAAAAAAAAAAAAGAAAATGTCAAACTCTTGAATTGTGAAACTCTTGAATTGTCAAATTCTTGAACCTGTGATCAAACAATGCTGAAAGCAGAACAGAGAAGAGGCACTTAAGGAGCAGGCGGTTTGGTAGGATGACTGATCCTCATACTAAGGAAACAGAAAGGAAAGGGGTTCCTGTGACAGCCAAGGTTAAAAAAAGGCAAGCCTTGTCAGCATCAGGTACCAAAGTTACTGTTACTGTTCCTCTGTTTTCCAGTCCACCCTTTCCCCAGCTTACCTTGCTCTGGTTTTCTGTCTCTTCAGTTTCATTACTTTAGTACCAACCACTTTGTTTTGTTTGGGTTATTGCTTAACTATCTTATCAGATATTTATTTTATAACTATCAGCATATCTATATACTCCTTTATCTCATTTCTCTTCCTCTTGTATCTCCTTTTTAAGACGATTGCTTATTTCTCAGAGTGCTGGCACACTACTGAATTACACAAAATATCTAGCAGTACTGGTTACTGAAAAAATAAAGCAACACTGTACCCAAAGTAGGAGACGTTCACCATCAGCACTCTGTGGCAGATCTGGAGGGAGAAACATCGCTAGCAGCCAATACGGAAAAGGTAGAAGTGGTGCTCTGTTCGCTCCCATAAAACATAAATGTATTCCTGCAGCCTTGATCTCATAGAGGGGCACTGTTTATTTACTCACTTACTCCAGACCCTGCAGATACCAGCCTGCTCTCATTGTTTGCATCGTGCTCTTTATGTTAGTGACGTGCTTTTACAGGAACTGTTGGGAGTCCCTTTTTCTTACCCCCATACCACAATTGCCGCAGTAAGTAGGGTGTGAGATCAAAAGGCAATCCTGACATTTAGCTGGTCTGTCTTTCATGGCTTTTAATATGTCATCTGTCCACACGTTACAGGGATCAGTACTGTCACATAGAGGTAAAAGCTATGTGGAAAAGGCACCACTGATCCTTCCAAAGGCTTGGAAGGTTGGATCTACAAGTAGTGTTATTCGCCTACTCCCTTCATAAAAAAATTAGAAAAAAAAAAAAAAAAAAGAACCAAAAATCCTGTTTAGATATTCTTAGTCGGAGGGGATAAAAATCTTTCAGTGCAAATAAATTCTTAAGTTGTGAGCAACAAATATCTGATTTGTGTTAGACAGTTAAGCTGATGAGTCATAGGAGAAAGTGGTAAAAGATTTCACCTCTGCTCCTGCATCGCATATGGTTAGAGAAACATCTTTTTTTTTTTTTTTTTTTTAAATATCCATTACAAATTAATGCATTTCTTTACAGCTTACCGAATCTTAAGGAGGTGAAAAACAGCAAATACTCATACACTACACTGTTACCTCATAATTCCTTCTCTCAGTGTGGCTGTTATTTGGAGGCTGATAAGCAATGAGCATGTCACTGAGATCTTTCCACGTGAAGGAGCCAACAGCTTTTGTATGGTCGGATAGATGAGTGATGAAGCCCTGTGGAGGTGGCTTGGTAATGTTGAATACAAGCAGGGACTTTGGAGTTTCATTGTCTTCAGCATCAACGGTTGTGGTTGTAATGGGGGTTAAAATAAATTGGTCTACTTCCAGGATGAACTTTGCCATCGGGGCAGCTTTGGGTATTTGATTAGGAATAGCGCCTTTAATCTGAACAGGGAGCCATGCATACTCAGTCTACAACAGGAAAAAATGAGACAGCTGAAAGGACAAAGTGAAGCAAACAAAATAAATTCAATTTCCATTACCTTCACATAGTTAATTGGGGTACATGTTAAAGCAACAATTATTTTGAAAAGAAAAACTGAAACATTTTAATGAGCAAATGCCTAAAGTAAATATTTAAGACCTGATGAAAAGGTCTTCCAGGTTCACTAGTCTTATTTGTGTCCTTAATTTTGGGCTGAAACAACTTGCTTAATTTGATGTGAGTTTAATGAATAACTTTACCTGACAGAAACATGTATAAGCCATTAATTATTATTAACTGAATATGTTCACACAGTGCTCAACTTATTAATTACTATGTATGTTGAAGTCAGTGCAGCTCATGCTCTACAAAAAAGGTGGAATTATGCCAGAATTAATTTTGCTGTCAGGCTAAACTACATATGTCTGCCAGTAAACAACCAAAAGTGTTTCTCTGTAGCCATAATGGTCTAAGCATAGAGGCATGGAGATAATGCATTTCATTTGCCCAGCTGGCAACGTTGTAAGAACTGAACAAACTTTCAAGATCGATATCTCTCTTCAAATGTGAAAAGGAACAATGAATTTAATTTTTTTGAAAACCAGGAAGACAATCAGACATTGTAAAGTTGCATAAAGATCTACCTTGTGCAGAGTTTTGCTTCTGCTGTCTGTGAGATCCAGCTTCACAGGAATATAATCAGTGTCAGGCGAGGGAGGGTCAAGGTGCTGGTATCGAATCCCCATCCTCAGAAATTCTTCGCAGCTCATTTTTGTATTGTGTACGACTCCCAGTCTCAGTATGCAGCTCCCGTTTCGGCACTGCTGGCCCAGGCTGTGCTCTGTAACCCAACACAAGCAATAGTGAAACAGTTTGCAGAGCAGAAACTGACATGGGAAGCCTGTCCATATAGCTAAGATAACCCTGATAAAAAACCAGTGTGATGAGAATTAGGGCTCCTTTCCTGACTGAACTTTTTCTGCAGGATTTTGTTTTCAACTGACATCTTCCAACTCCAACCTCCCTTGATCTGTTGGGTAGGTGCTGCCTCCCAACAACTCCCTGTGCTGTTTCTACTGAGTCTTTGGCACTCCCAAAGCTGTCACATTGGTCCACATGCCTAGGAGCCAAAACCAGACTCCAATCTGGGGATTACTGACCCAGATCTGTGATCTGCGTTGTGCCCCACACAAACTTCTTTCAGTTTCCATGATAGCTCAAGCTGTTCATTAAACTTCACATTACCCACTCTTACCCAGCACATCTGAAGCAACCCACTGCTGCAGACTTAATCTGCTGAATCTCTTTGAACCTGCTAATGCAAACAACTAAAGCACATCGTACTAGGGCCAGGGAAGAAGCTCTGTGGGTGATCTCCACGAAGCTGCTCTTGCTGCACTTCCCCAGTGATGAGCTGGCCATGAGCAGGCAGGTGGGTTTCTGAAGCGGCTATGGAAATGGTGCAATCCAGATTTATCTTCCTGTCATAGTCAAAAGCGAGGACATTCTTGTCAATCACCCTGGACAGACCATAGTACTCAGGGACTTCCAGAGCATGGGAGCGCATTTTGATGATGTTACAATCTGGCTCAAGTAACTGCACACGGAGGGTGAATGTTTCTACAAACGTTTCATTTTCTGTAAACCTGCAGGGCATAGAAGGAAATTAATTATGCGTCATCCCATTTTCTGTCGCTCTGTGAGTTTGGCATTGGCCTCATCTGCTAAATTGAATTACTTAAACCCCTTTCTCTCATGTGCCCTCAAACCCCAGATCTCCAGAGACCACGAGGTGCCAGACACTGATGCCCACCTCCTCATACTTGTAAAAAGGGTGTTTGTGTGAAGGAAGAGGTTACTCGCTGTGTATATGCAAAGGTCTGTGTCCCTATCAGCAAGACGGCACAGAACGTACAGTGCTCTGAAAGTACTGTTGTTACTTTCAATAATAAAAGAAAAATCACTCGTTTTCTGTAACAAACAAGCAGTACATTATATTTATTAATACTAACAAACATTATTTGAGCATATCTGAAATACATTGTGACAAATGTTTCTGTAAACAGATGGTCACTTGCTGACTAATGATGCCGCTACTGGATCTAAGTAGTTAAATACATACAGCAGAACATGCTTTTACCATGAAAAATGGGCTGCTTGCTCTTCCTGAGGGTAGCTATTCTCCTGGTAACAATGAAATGTGATCTCCCGCTGCTGCTTACCTGTACAGCCTAAGCATGACCGTGTCTTCGTCTAAAATCGGACAGCCATTGTGGGTATATTTGACTTCATTAGGAAGGAAGTGACAGTCAAAAACCTATGAAGGAGAAAGAATAGACAAGTACAACACTGTCAAGGATGTTAACTTCACAGCTTCTGTTCCCCTTCTCTCTGACTGTCAGGAATGCATCAGACTAAGGAAATTTTTAATCTGTAGTTTATTTCTATGAATAGGTATTCACCTGTTCTGTGGTCTCCCAGTGAGAGCCAGAGCAAGCACTTTAATGTGGGGTTGCTGGCACTCTACAAGGGAACAGGCATATAAATGTGATAGTTTCAGGCTGCCAGGTACCTCCTCCAGCGCAACAAATAGTTTGAGCGCACACTTCTCTACCACCACAGCCTGTGGACTTATGGATGCGGTTGTATTTAGTGGGAGAACTGCAGTGGATCTGAAAAGCCAGCAGTTCCTGCAGTATAATATTAGATTTATTAGCTTTTAAAATTGCTTGTGGCGATAGCTTAATTATACAGTAAATCCTGCTTTATAGCCACTACCATTGGACTACAAAAGTATGATCCTGTGAAACTTCTCTGTTGGAAACTTTGCTAGCTCAGATTTGTTACATGATTTTGGAACAGTGACTTTGTACCAATAGCCTTTTACCAGATCAGATGTCATCTCTGTGCCATACCAACAACCAGCCCCAATGTCAGTGTAATCCCACAGGATAAAAGCAAGCAGAATTTCTATATTGTGTTCACCAGCTAATTCAAAAGAGACTAATTCTTATGACATACCTGATACAGGTCAAATTTGCAAAGAAGCCTGGCCACAGTTTAACCATCTAAGACAGACACTTCTTTCAGGCTGATTGTTTTATTTAATGGTTTGTTGACTTGCAAAAGTAAGGCAATGTGGAAAAATGCCTGACCCAAATGGAAAAAAGATTGCTTTGGAGAGTTCTGACACACCCACTCTTTGGAGCAGGGATTTGGATTCTGGGGCATAGGATTTTCATGTCCTCACGTATGCCAATTTGCAAGTCTGGCAAATTACAATTCCCATGTAGCTATATTTCTTTATAGACCTTACCAGCTGAAAGCTCCTAGCATTGATAAGACCATGTCTATGTTATCCTTGTGGTAACAGCGAACCCCTACACAGCCCATACGTAGATACTCATGTTTCATATCTACAGAGAGACAGGGCATATTGTTGTCACCACAAAGGCAAAAGCTAATCGTTGCATTTCCGGAGTGTCTCACTGTGCAACTAAATGTGGTTTTGATTCAGTTTTTGTGGGCAGTATTCACACATGATTAGTTCTTCTATGGAATGACGTAAAACCTGTTCAGCATTCACTAATAGACCTGATGAGGCCATAACTAATAAGGATTAATATACATATGTGGCTGAATGACAAACCACATCTATTTGCAGAAAGAAGAGGTCATTTCTTACTACTGGTCATTTCTTAAAATACACCAAAAGAATCATGAAAATGAAGTGGCTTGCCTGAACTACCTACAGCTCACCAGCCACTCTCCCAGGATGGTGAAATGAAAGGGGGATTTTAGTGAGGTTCTGAAATGTTGACTGGAAGTGCAGTGCATAGAGAAAGTCTTTGGATGCTCTGACTTTCAGCGTAAAAATGAACTAATACTTTAATTCCTAAAGTAGTTGTTAATGCATGGTTAACTGAAACACATCATGACCACTTCGTGGATTTACTCTAAAGGATATAGGAACTAGTCACCTTTGTTTCTTTCTAGCCATTACACAGAATTAGAACTTGCATCTTTCTGTAATGGAAAAATAATTAGAGTTTATCAGCTTTCATTATTACCGGCAGTGTCCACTCCCACTGAAGTTATTCTCAGATGCTCAAGCTATATTCCTAGTGATTTTTAAATGTATTGCCTGCTTTTAACTTTTCATCAAGAAGCACATTGTACAAAGTCTTTCTTTTTTTTGAGTAATGTGTTAGTTGATTATCAGATACATATACATGGATTTACCACTCTTCCTATTGGCTAAAATAATCTTGGAATAATCCGTAATATATGGTGTTATGGAAAGTATGATTGATTTTATTTGTTGGGACTGCTTAGAAAGGAGGGACAAGAACAGTTTGTGACAAACAAAGTTGCTGTCATATGATGAAGGTTTTGACTATGTTGTGGCTGTTCTGTTGTGTATTGTTTTCAAATGTCACAGAAATATGTGTTTCATTATTTTTCAGTATTTAACAAACAACAAATATGTCTTTTTCTTACTTAAAATCTTTTCTTTCTTAGTGATTAATTAATAAGATATCCTACAAAAAAGAAAAAAAAATTAAGAGAAGTAGTTATGTGGTGCGTTACCTCAAAGAAAAAAAAGTACATTATATACAAAAGCCACTCATATTACAGCTTCCACTAGTTTAATGTTGTACACCGAAGATGAGATTCTTCACTGATGTAAATCAGTGTAGAGCCCTCAAAGTCGGTAGGGTTTTTGGTGACGTGCAGGTCTGGTGTGCACCTGACAATGAGATACTGCTCAGCTGATGCATCCCTGTTCATATCAGAGGGGACTGCCTACAGCAGAGGAGATGGTTTATCGTATCAAATAATTAATTTCTTTCTTTCTAAGACATCATTAGTTCCATCTCTTGATTGGTAACAAGGGGATGGAAAATGAAGGACCTTTCCACAAAGGTCTGTTACCACTGACTGACAGTCATTTTATATATGTATAAGACACAATCTGCTTTGCAAAAAGAAACATCTGTTTTATGTTTCCTAATATGTTTTCCTTTTATATGAACAAGCAACTCTAATTGTCTATAAATTCACTGGGTAAGACAAAGGAGATCTAAATCTTATCCTAATTACTGTTGAGCTTTGTTTTTTTCTACTTCAAATGCTTTTCAATTACAATTTATAATTAAATTGTCATACATTCCTAGGACATTACTCACTTTAATGGCAGTAAAACAGATCAGACCACAAACATTTTATGGCTGCAGAATTTCCTAGTAGAAAGGACATGAGTGGCACCACGAGGGCCAGACTCTGGCACCTTTTTTCAGGAATGGTGAAAGCTCAGGCAGCACTTTACAGTGTGGTGAGTACACATCTCCTGGGGTCTCTGGAAAACTGCCTTTGACCCTGTGCTTGAAGCATGTCAGGTTACAAAGGACAAAGTGGCTTTTACAAAATACCTGGGTCCTATGGCATGTAGAGGCTGAGGCAGAAATCGAACGCAAATCACTCAGCCAGCCAGCCAGCTTGCCTACAGAAGAGGTTTGCCAGCAGTGAGACATTAAGTCTCTCTTTTTCTCTTCATGGGTCAAACTAGACTGGGCAAGTGGAGAGGGGGGACTATGGTCAGAGCCCCTGCGCTGACAGAGGGCAAGCCCCGGGGAAGTCTCAGCAGAGGGACTGCACATCTAAAGAAGATCACACATTGCCCTGCTCATCGCCTCCTGTTTTCCCTGGCGTGCCTCTGCTCCTTCCAAGTGCTGGTTCAATAGTCTGCAAAAATAATGATGATGACCAAGCCAGAAGCTTTGAAAAATCTACTGAGACTGGTGTTCCTGCATCCACCTTCACAGAGACCACCAGAAACCTCAGAGATGATGTTTAAAACAATATACATATACAAACATACATAAGTGTATGCTGCATGGTACAATTAACAAAACTCTTCAAAAATAGACAAAAACTATTTGGTTATGGTTCATTTTTAAACCATTCATCTTTTATCTCTACCGTTACATGTTCATGTCAATTACTTCCAACTTCTTCCTGCTATGACTCAGGTGGGGAGATTTGTGAGGTAAATGAGTAGCAGAACAGTGATATGTGAAATACATTTCATTATTCCTACAAGCTTGAAATTTTACATTTTTTTTTTACATATTTGCCATCTGCTAGCAATTTTGCTGTTGCAGAGCAGAGCAAACAATGGTGTACACAATGTGCTTATTGTATGTGATGATTTTTTTCTTAATTGCTCCCTAAGTAGTGGCTGCATGACTAAGATGCAAAATACTCTAGCGGGCTATGCATTACCCAAGGGGCTCTGGTTACCGCCATGGTAGAATAACAAGCAGCTGAGAGACAGGAGGATATGTCCTAACTGAAAGTTTTGAAATACCCATTCTCCACTTGTGAAAGGGCACTCTGACCGAACTCCCTTTTATGCACTCGTATGGCTGACCTGAGCTTTTAGATTTCAGGGGTGCAGTTGTCTGTCAGCTGGCTACTTTTAGCAAAATGCTGAATCTCACAGGCCATTCAGTTTCATGCCTTTTAGTCATTACCCGAAAAAAATATTCAACAAAGCAGGTCTTCCTAGTTTCTCCCACACCTGCGCACACGTGGACACTCAGATCACCACAACGGAGCTCAAATACCTGCGGAGTTAGTTTCCCAACCCTTTGTGTTATTGGCTCATTAATCACAACTTCTACTTTGCAGACGTCCTTCTCTCTGGGGATGGAAAATTTGAGGTCATCTTCTGACAGGAAGACAGACTGTCCCTTCATCACTTTCACCCCAAGGTTGACAGTAATAAAGGAGGAGCATACAACTCTTAGTACAACAGGCAGCAGTAGAAACAACCAGCTTTTCTCAAAGGGCTTCATATTATGAGGGGATGCCAGCTCTTTTCCACCAGTGAAAATGTTCTTAACAAAAGAAGTCTTCTCTTTCTCCGCCAGCAGATTTTCACCATACAATGAGGGACCAAAATGTTACTTGAATGTAAAAAGGCACCACATGTTTTCTATTAAGATGCACCCCTTGACTGAAATTTGGACAGGGGCCTTTCAAATTATCCTTGGGTTTTTATAAAATTCATTGGTCAAGCCTGACAAAATGATGAATGTGTTCTCAGAATACTTCTAAGTTTTGTTAATCCTGAAAAAAAAAGAAAAAATTATATAAGGCATTGAGCAACTATTGCGGAAAAAGAATAACCACACAAAAAAATTCCACCATTTCTTACAATTGCAGTTCATTTCAAGCACCAGCTTAACTTCACCTTTGAATACTATTACGTGCACACGTGCTTAGAAAATTAGCTACGTACCAGTGAGACTTCTTCCTCAATGGATCAGCTCTCAATATGAATTCCAGGCACCTTTGATCCGCATGCACATACAAACACTTGCTGTGTAGGATCCTTTGTTACTGGCCTTTTTTACTGCTGGGCCAAGTAGATATTAATAAAAGGGTACGAGTATCCAAGTAATTTGAAAGTGCAGGACTAGGCATTCGTCCAGATTAAATATATCTGAAAGTGGGATAAAGAGAGAGTGGCCTTTTGTTAAATCTGTTTTTGCTTTGCCATTGAATGTGGGAGAAAAAATTCAACCTTTAGTTGAAAACACCTTCCCACTGCCTCTCTACTCTTCCTGCTATAGCGAGTAACTATGTAAGGACATCAACATAGAAACATATGATATGGCACAACAAAACTGAATTTTTTCTTTTTCACACAAAAAAAAAGTTATCATTCTGAGGCAAATTCAGTGGAAATAAGGAACAAAAGGTGATACGGAAAAAAAATTACACAAGCTCCTCATGCCCCCAGTTACAGTGAATCTTAATCTTTTGTGTTTATAAACTCATAAGAAAAGCATAGTTCTTCTGGCATTGAACAAGCACTATTGAAAACTTTATAAGACCCTAATTTCTACAACCCTCCAAAGAAGCTGAATCTATGGCCCAAAGAATAGGCAATGGTATTGATTTAATTAAATTTGATAAGATCATAAGAATTCTAAGCTAGTAAATATCAACATTCCTTCAGCTTCTTGTAAATTTTTGGTGCCCTGACTACTTACTTGCACAGTCTAATTTAATCACAGCCCTACCACCAAGAGTGAGCTTTCCTGAAAGTGAATAAAAAACCAAATCCATGTATCTCTTAATTTTCTTCATTATTGTTAACAGATAAGTGTTCACTCACTGTTTCTGGCAGGATGACCTTCTGAACAGCCTACAATTGTATGCACATATCCGCCCAGTTTTACATTTCACTGAAAAACTATCACCAGTTAAGGGCTTCTTTAAAATTATTTACTTCCTAAAGTAACACAAGACAGATCCACTCACCTCAGCTCAGATTTAAGATTGAAGACATTGGGACTAACGTATGTTTAAAGTTAGACGTATGTTGACTACGTAGTCTGGCCTGCAAATCTTAACTCTGGTTTTCTAGCTTTTTATCTGAAAATCTTTCCATTTTGGTCTAAAATTATGCAGCCAGATTGGTCTGAACAAAATCTGAGAGAAAATGTAGAATTCTAGCCAGAGGAAAGGGAATGAAATTCATGGTTGAAAGTTTTTTAACGTGTTCCAGAAACAAATCAAAATCTCAATTCATTTTAAAAAAGTTTACTTACTCAGACAGCTTTTACTAAAATCCAGATATGCAAATGTGCCCAAAGTACTTGCTATTTTTTTTTTCTTTCTAGTGGGATGGGTATGCATAGCACTTCATTGAAATAAACACATCTGAGACAGCACTCCACTTCCTAAAATTCACAATTTTGAAACACAGTCTGCAATCCTATAAAGGACAACTTGGAAAAAATGGGAGGAAAACAGATTACACTTCAGCCTCCAAGTGAGAAAATATGGTTTGCAGCAAGTGCACCCTTTTAACCTGAATATCTGACTGGCATTTATCACATAGTGCACAGATTGCTAGCGTTTATCAAATATAAACTGTGTTTCCTTAAAATACCAGCTGCAAAACATGGAAAGATGTTCTGAGTGAAAACCTTCTCTATTGCTGTGCCCTCTTCCTACTTCCTGCATCGAACAACATGAAGATAGGGCTGAGGGAAGTGAAATAACTTCCTTGGCATATGTCTTAAGAAGATGCTCTGCCGAATGTCTCCTCTGACTTCAGGCATGACGGGATCCCTGGCCAGCAGGAAGCTCCTGGCACAGGGACTGCAATGGATTTTAAATCCTTTGACTCCAGCCCCCGATGAAGAAGCAATGCATGAGTAACTCTCAGCTAGTTTCAGAGAAGACCCAGTTTCTTAAGCCATAGAGGGGCTCACATAAGAGGAAAATAATTGGGAATTTTGGACTCTGAGTAGGACCTGGCAAAGTGCCGAGAGGCAGTCAATTACTCTGAAGCATAGACCTGGCTTACAGCTCATGGCAATGCCAGTAACTTTGTGCTCCATAATACGAAGCTGGGGCATTGATTTACAGTGCAAAATGCCTTTATTCACAGGGTACTAGGTACCTTATGAAAAATTATAAAATTGAAGCCTGGACAGTTTTGACTTTCTCCACTCCCACCTGGATAGCTACCACAAAAACATGTTATAGTTCAGAGACAGCCTAATCACCAGTTCTGAAATGGCAGTGTTCAGGAAGTGTATTGTTGTCTTTACACCTTACATATGTGCTTACAAGAAAGGAAGGCCAGCTGTCTCTCTCCAACAAGCACTGCCAGAGTCATTCACGGGGAGACGTCTGCACCTCGAGTCTGATGAAGCCCAGGTTGATCTGTTTCTGGTGCCTGCCCCACAAACCCCAGCACTGGGAGCAGGTATAAACCTCAGGCACAGGTGGTGGTTTCTTTGCTGCCTTTTCTTACCCTGCATAAAACACTAAGAGCAGAAAGGCTCCAAGAGGAGCCAGGAGCATTTTGGCCAATTTTGTGGTGATTATGTGAGCCGTTCTCTGCTACAAAATTGGTCCCATGTTGTCACTGTGTATTACAGTCTTGCTTTGGCTGCTTTTGCTTGCAGCGTTGCTCCTGTATCACTATACACATTTGCCCCATATATTCCAGCAATTGGCCCCTACTTGTCAGCTGCAGGTCTGTCTCCTTATGTGACCAAGTGAAGATCTTGAGAAGTATAACCTCACTTTCTCAATCACTTATCCAATGACAGCAAAACGAAATGCAAGAGGTCCTTTCAGCACATAATGGCAATAAAATGAGAAGGTTTTGGAGTGAATGCCATTAGATTAGCATTCTTCCATCTGTGTGAAGAAGGCCATTGCTTCAGCAAAGTCTCATGTGTGCTACACGGTACTTATGCTGATCCAGAGTGACAGCGCGGTGCTCTCTGGCAGGTGATGCCGCTGCCATATTTTGTGGCTGCTTTGAACTTCCTTACTTCTCTGCCCTTAATATCACAGCTGAGCCTGATTCATCCCTGCTATTCCTTGGCGTGTCACCTGTGTATCCAGAATGAACAAATGACTGAGGCACTATTTAATTCCAAATGCACCACAATATTTCAGATATACTTAAAGGCTTAATCAAATAATGGTGTTCATGAACAACACATCAGGAGAATCAGTATTTTTAAACTAAGCTGTTTCCTCATTGACTTTCTAAGGATCTGTGTATATGGCAAAACACCTGAACCAGGTTCAGGTGCACTGTGTGCCTACAAGCTCACAGAAAGCTACCAGCTTTAGTCCCAGAAGTAAAATAGCCACGTCAGTTCAGTAATATATCATGTATTAGTTGTTATCCCTCAGTGGGGATGGAGCACATGATTTATGAGGAGAGGCCAAGACAGCTGGGTTTGTTCAGCCTGAAGAAGAGAGGGTTTATTGCTGGTTTTAGACATCTAACAGAAGAGTTCAGAGAGCCTGGAAATGCACAGCAAAGGGACAAGGTGCAATCCACAAAATTCGCAACACAAGAAATTCACATTAGATATTAGGAAAAAAAGCCACAGTGAGCATGGTCAGGGGAACGGGTTTCCCAGAAGGGCTGTGGAGTCTCCATCCTCAGAGATATTTAAAAAACAACTGGGGCCTGAGTAGCCTGATGTAACTTTGAAGCTGGACTTGTCATAAAAGTTGGCTGTGCTGAGAGAAAGGGATGGGACCTGTTACCTGCAGAGGTCTTTTACATCCTAAATCATGTGATGACTCTAAACTGAAATGACAGAGCTGTCTGGCTTCCAGGACCCAAGTTAATTACCTGGTGTATTTTTGCAAAACACTGCATTGTACCTGTCCTGGTTTCAGCTGGGATAGAGTTAATTTTCTTCCTAGTAGCTGGTATAGTGCTGTGTTTTGGATTTAGTGTGAGAATAATGTTGATAACACACTGATGTTTTAGTTATTGCTAAGTAGTGCTTAACAAAGTCAAGGACTTTTCAGCTTCCCATGCTCTGCCAGGTGCACAAGAAGTTGGGAGGGGGCACAGCTGGACAGCTGACCCCAACTGACTAAAGGGATATCCCATAGCATATGATGTCATGCTCAGCATATAAAGCTGGGGGAAGAAGAAGGAAGGGGGGACGTTCAGAGTGATGGCGTTTGTCTTCCCAAGTCACCATTACACGTGACGGAGCCCTGCTTTCCTGGAGGCGACTG